TTTGGTTATAAATCAAAGAACTTATGGGTGGGATGGGCTTTTTTGATTGCGTGATTTTATAGGAAATCTGATCAGATGAGATTTGGGTGACAGCTGATATTACATAAAATATGTGCAAGTATTTATGTCGCGGGTCCCGTTATGGTACTATTTGGTCGGGTATTTTAATCGTTAGATTTGGATCCATGTGTAGTTAGATAAAATAGATGATCCAACGAGTGAAACACCTGACGAATGATACCTTACCGGTAGCATTTTTCCTTTCTTATATACCGATATAATAATGTTTTAAAAACTAGGGATGCCTTATTCCCACAGTATGTATAAAAGAGTATGGTTATCTAACTACCTAAAAGAAAACCGCCAAACCGATTTATAACTGCATGTAATTCACACACGCTAATTATTTTAAGCAATATTTGTGATAAATAAATTTCAGGTGACATGCAAATTTTGAGAATAAAAATGAAAGTGGTAATTAAAATCAACTACGTGAATTGTGAAAATGGATTATGAAATGACATATATATTATGAAAGTAAAACTATACATGATATGTGAAATATGAGAAGTAACTACTTGTTCTTTGGTAACTTCACACTAGTAAATTATGAATAGTTACCGGTAAGAACTAACAACTCAAAACTCAGTTCTCCATTAAATTTAATATACAAGCCTAAATGGAGTTCAATTCTTAATTGACAATAAAAAGAGTAGTCCACTAAGCTTATATATTGAACGTGAAACCCTTAATTTTCCGATGTGTTATTAGATTTGCATATCCAACAAATCTCCCCTCAAACACAAAACCACATTGGGCCTCCCTCCTCCTTGAACGAAATTCATACAATCCGACCATTTTGCAAGTGGGCTACCAACCGTGGCTCTGATACCAATTGTTGGGACCAACAACTCAAAACTCAATTTTCCATCAAACCCAAGATACATTGCAAATGGAGTTCCATTATAAAACTAATTGGCAATAGATGGAGTAACCCACTAAACTTATATATTAGACTTGAAATAATTTTCTAATGTGGGATTGAGTTTGCGCACCCAACATTAGCTTGGCTTATAAGTAAATTCTAATAAGTTAATCTATATATGTATTCAGGACATATTGAAATATATTGATGGAATAATCTAAGGTAGTTAGTTTGACTTTGTAATTAAATAAGTTGACTTACTATTAAAGAAAATATAGTAAAAATTACTTTAATATTTATAAAAAAAGTATAAATTAAATTCTACATACTTGTTGTAAATCGCGCAATCCGGTTAATATTACGAGCCATATACGAAAAATCATCTATTGAATGAGGTCAAAAAATCTTTTGATTTTATCAATAACGGCATTGTACCAATTTTTAAAAATTCATGTTGCGATTCACAATATAACAAATCTCATATAAATTATTATATTATAAAAAAAAGTTAATTATTTCTTAAGTTCAAAATTATATATATTACAATTTTTTTTAATTAAGTGTTGGTTGTAATATTTGCCACAATTTTTTGACTTTAGTCTAACATACTTAGAATCAAAATAATATATGCAACAAGGCATGAGTAAGAGAAAATAGAGGAAGAGAAGTATCATGAAATTAATAATATTTGAATATGTGAAATTTTCATTATCCTTAATTATAAACATGATTTAAAAGGACAACTATTTTACAACAGTGAAATAAACATATAAAACATATACTAAATAATTACATATCATAAAATAAAATAAAAAAGTAATTATTAATATTCAAAAATAATTTTTTATTAGTTAATACATACAATTATAATGATTGTCTCGTGCATGACATGGAGTCACGGACTACCTAATTATTTTCACTACACACGATTCTCTCAAATTGGCAGGTACAAAGTGTGATAATTATTCAATTCATGTTGTGATTTTGATATGCAAACTTTGAGAATGGAAAATGAGTGGTTGTTTATTTTTGGTAAAGCAAATTTGTATATGCCTTTTGGAATGTTAATTATATGTGTGGTAGTATGCACTAAAAAACAAATGAGTCTCATATAGGCCATATATTTTGTTAGTTTCGAAAGTATAAGATTCTGAATTTTTTATTTTATTTTATTTTTTTTTTCTTAAAATGAGCTTCAATTTTGGGCTACATAAAAAATTCAAAATATTTGTATATTACTAAAGAGAAGAAAGTTTTATGAGTAGACATATTAATATTTTCGCACCAAATATTATTACGTTATTTTGAAAATTACGTGCTTTTTATTGTAAATCAAAAATTTTTAAAAATAATTTGACATTTTTAATTCAAAGGAGATACACAAATTGAAATATAGCGATATTAGATCCAAATTACTATAAGGGTGTGATTGGTTGGAGTGATAAGGAGGGATATCACACATTTTCTTAAGCATTAAGTGCATTTATGCTGTTTGGTTCAACATGCCCTGGCCCTTGAAATTGACGAGGCCCGGTTTGAGTAATAACAAATGGTAGTATAACACATCCCGTGGGAAGGGCCGGATACAATTTCCCATGTCAAAGCTATTGTTTGAAGAAAGACTAAAATGCCCTCGTATAAAAGCAGGCCTCCTAAAAATCGAGCTGCACTTTTCCAATTTCATCTCGACAAACCCTAAAGCTCTGCTACGCCTCAAGTTCACGAAGGTAAGCGAGCTGAACATTTGCTATTTTTTTTCGAGAAATCATTGAATGACGGTTCCTTTGTTGATAGATCTGTTTTTTGTGTAAGTGTGCGGCTTATTTCCGATTTTACTTCGTTGAATTTCGCTGACTTTCGTTTCCTTTCGCCCACTTTTTCAATACAGACCTTATTGAAGAACACACATTTCGTCTCGTGAGTGTCGGGCTGCTTTTTTGGGTAAAGCGTACGTACTGATTTTATGTCCAAATTGTTTTGAATTCCTTCATTTTTCTGTGCTATGTGTGTGAACTTATACTGTGTTTTTTTAGGTTCTTAAAATTTCACTCATGCACATCTATGTACTTCATTACTCCAATTGTTTGCATTTTTTGGGTATATTTTTTAGATCTATATACAACATTTTTGCTTTGTGTAACAGTTTGTTACAAAGATGTAGAAGAGCCCAAAGAATTGAATAATTGCAGATTGTTAGAATAGAAATTTTTTATGCTTGATATAAATTTGAATAATGGCAGTTTTCCAATCAAACGTAATGCCAGAGCTTTCAAGGCGCAGGGCAGAAATTTTATTACTAATTGAAGAGATAATGCTTCAAATTTGTGTAGTAATGGCCGTTGTTACTACACAACTTGGGGATAAGGGTATTTATGTTAGGGAGCAAATAACAAAAAAAGTAAGATACGTGATGGCTGAGAGAATACCGAGACAACTAGATCACCTCACCGCTTTGGTTGGACTCAGTGATCCTGATTGTTTGGACAACTTACGAATGAGCCGCGATGTATTCAATAGGTTGTGTTATTTGTTAAGACATGAAGTTGGCTTGAAGGATTCAAAATACGTGTCCCTTTCAGAAAAGGTTGCTATTTTCTTGTCTGTTATTGCACACCATAAAAAAATGCGTGTTGTGAAGTTTGATTTTAAAAGGTCGGGACACACGGTTAGTATTTGTGTCAATGAAGTCCTAAATGCTGTTCTACAACTGCATAACACACTTCTCGTGAAGCCGGAACCAGTTGAAGAAAACTCTGTCGACCCTAGGTGGAAGTGGTTTAAGGTATGACTGAAGTACTATCTTGTCTGGCATTTTATTTACTGGCATATTATTTACAATCTAATTTTAATTAAATTACTTTATTTTGTTAAGAAACCAACCCTTCAGATTTGATTTTGCTAACTTATATTTTTTTTATTCTGTGTTTTGTTGCATGCACGTAGGGTTGTCTGGGTGCATTGGACGGAACTCACATACCAGTACTTGTCCCTTTGGTGGACCAACCTAGATATAGGAATCGAAAGGGTGAAGTGGCAGTTAATGTTTTAGGTGTGTGTGATCGCAACTTAAACTTTATATATGTGTTATGTGGATGGGAAGGTTCAGCAGCAGATTGTCGGGTGCTCCGTGATGCTGTCACTAGGCCAAATGGTTTAAGGGTTCCCCAAGGTCTTCATTTACGTTGTGTGCTTATGTCTATATAAAAACCCCCTACCATTTAGTTATATTTATTCACATTAATTTTTTTTTATTAACACATCCTATGGCTACAGGGTATTATTATCTGTGTGACAATGGATACACAAATGGAGAAGGATTTCTAACACCGTATAAAGGGGTCCGTTACCATTTGAAAGAATGGCGACATGGCAGTGGTATACCTCACACAAGCGAGGAGTTTTTCAACATGACCCACTCTAAGGCACGAAATGTTATCGAAAGGAGTTTTGGAATATTAAAGAAAAGATGGGCCATCCTCCGTAGTCACAGTTTTTACAGTATTAAGATACAGAACAGGTTGATCATGGCTTGTGTGTTGCTGCATAATTTCATCCGGAGAGAGATGAGTATTGACCCAATGGAAGTTGGTGAGGACGAAGACGATGCTGATGGGACTGATGATAATGTTGATACTGTTTTTATTGATACTGTCGAGACTTCTGAACCTTGGTCTCAAATGCGAGACCAAATGGCACAGTCAATGTTCAATGAATGGAGATGTATTTAGAATTATTAAATAGCTTACGTTTGTATTGTATTGTTGACTATGGTTTTCCCTCTACTTTATATACTATTTGAGACTTGTGTGGCTATTTGTTTTTAATGAGATTTTGATGTAGTTTACAGTTAAATGTCCCCGGTGCCATAACTTTCTTCATTTTCTTAATTTCAATTTTCATCAGCTCAATAAAATGGAACGGTCATATGAGAACAATCGCAATACTCGGAGGCGCAGAGCTGACAAAGGCAGAAGAAGTTGGACTAAGCACGAGGAGGAAGTTCTTATTGTTGCATTGAAAGAGGTTGTTGCAAATGGTTGGAAGTCAGAAAATGGCTTCAAAACAGGGTTTCTCCAGGTTTTAGAGCAAGACTTGGCTAGAAAACTACCAGGTACTGATTTGAAAGGAACTCCCCACATTAACTCAAAGATCCATGTCTGGAAGAAGGATTACAGTAGCCTCGTCTCCATGCTCTCTAGGACGGGCATTGGATGGAATGATACGACTAAAATGATTGATGCAGATGATGAGGCATGGGCATCATACGTAAAGGTACACTTTTGTATGATAGTGTATATATGTGTAAATGAGATTGTTTTTCATACATTTTTTTGAAAAGAACAACTTATGGCAACTTATCTACTTCTGACAAAGGTTGATTCGAATGCTCGATTGATGAGGCATAAGAGTTGGCCTTATTATTCCGATTGGGTAAATATCTTTGGGAAAGACAGGGCAACTTGAGAGCATGCAGAGGATATAGGCAATGCTGCAAGTCAACCATTTCAGGAAGCAGGGGGTGTGTTACCGGATGAAGTTGAAGTGGTAGCAGATTTGGGTGGAGATGATCCTGACTGGATGACGTCTGAATCAGAAAGTCAAGCACAAGGATCAACTTCTACTGCGAAAAGTAAAGGAACAAAAAGAAAGTCCACACAAGCAAATGAAGATATGACCTCTGTGTTTCGCGATTTCTGCACTGAAACTGGGGTACGTTTACGTGAGATTGCGCAGAAAATAGGTTATGAATATGATGTCTCTGCTGCTCGGAAAGAGGTGTATTGTGAAGTGGGGAAAATCATGGGCTTAAATATGCAAGAGAAGTTGTTAGTGTGTAAGTTGCTTGTGAGAAATACTGAGGACTTGGAACTATTCTTCAGCTTGCCGAACGATGCAAAAGCAGAATTTGCACGAATGAAACTAGCTGGTAATATTTAGGGGCTGGAATACCGTGGTGCTCCATGGTGTGATTGTGTTTTGTGCGTTGCAGCTACCTATAATTAACACTGGTTATTTGGATGCAAAAGTTTATTCTAATATTTGTAACAACTCTTTTGAACATTGTTAGTTTTGTTGGGAGAAGTTGGATCATATGTTGATCGTAAGCTACAGACTTATATATGTGTCATTTTGTTAAGTAGATCCCATATAATGGGTATTTTTTCAGTTAAAGAATGATATGATAATTGTGGTTTTGTTAAGTTGGCTTAGAAAGTACACATGTATTAATGAATTGATAATTATAAAGTTAACAGTATGACTCTCGGTTGTAGATATGATACAATTGTGTTATTGGCCCACTCCATCGACCTCTATTCGAGATGCTTGCTAACTTTCACATCATCAGAGATGAGGTGAAGATGGGGCCTTTGTACCTGCGAAAAGGGGCTCGGTTTTCGGATTATCTATACATTTTGTTGAATTTGGTGCGGGTTCAGTGCAAAAACCACACCAAACCGAACAATACCAAAAATTGATCTTATGGAAAAATTATAACCGTACTGCAACATTAGAGTAATCCGAACCAAACGGAATCGAAAATTATTGTACATTAAAAATACCGAACCGAACCGCACTCAATTGGATGGTTCGACTCGTTTTTTCGATTTCGGCTTGGTTTTGCTCACCCCTAAAACCTGCGAATTCTTTGTTCCCCATTTCGGTTGCCTCTTCAGTTTAATCATAATGGCAATTTTTGTGTGCCTTTCATTTGGGCCTTTGATTTGGGCCATTTTTTTATTTTCAATGACATTATTTAAACAGTGAAATGGGTTGTTTTTTTCTGGTTAAGGCCCAAACTTATAGCTAAGCCCTTAAATCGACTGAGTTGTCAATTGTGAGGACTAAAAATCACGCAGCCCTCAGATTCTCGTCTGTCACTCTCACGGCGGTATCAGCACGACCGGCGGCTCACCTCAAGCGTTCGCTCGTCTTCACCAGACTCCATTTAGGTCAAATCTCACTCTTTCTTATTTGCTTGTCTATTTCGTTCTCTTTCTTACAAAGAACCCTAATTTCGCCCTTTCCATATAAATTTATTGAATTTATATGTTCAATTTTGGTTAGTCCGTTTGGTTAAGGTTTACACGATTTTGGTAATTATGCATTTAACAACTTGTTCATCAGTGTGCGTTTTTTGCATGTACTCTATTGGTTCTGAATTTGTCCATGAGTTTAAATTCATCGGTTTGGAGAAAAAATAATCCTGTAAAATTCACTTGTATATTTTACTGTGTGGTCTACACTGGAATGAGATGTTGTGTTGAATTGACAACTTATTTACTTGTTTGCCTCCTAAACAACTCCTTCAGATAAATACTTATTTGTCTTGTAAACAAATCTAATGTGTTCTTCTTAGGTGTTCTATCATGGCTGACGAATGGACGAGATTTTTTAAGATAATTCTTGACGCACAAATGAGCTCCATGGTACGAGGTTCTTCCTTAATAGCTAAGCATGTTGTATTATTTTTCATACTGGCTTTTTCGGTGTACATTATATTCATCCCGGTTTTAAAATTCTTTACTTATAGGCTCTCCCACCTGCAATTTGCGAATATAATGAGCCCGACCTTCCAAAAAAATGTATAATCGAGACTAGAGAAGGACGTGAGTATGAAGTGATGCTGAAAATGGTGGATAATAACCCGACCTTGGTTGATGGATGGGATAGTTACATTGAGGCAGAATACATTGAACTGAATTACATTCTGTTTTTCAAATGAATCAGCAAGTTCCATTTCAAAGTTATGGTGACAGACAAAACCGCGTTAGAGAGACCGCCGATATACCACTTTTGCTTGGACATAAAAAAATCTCACATTGACCGGGCTCGCTTGGTATGTACACACTTGACAGTTTACGTTTGTATTTATTCAAACATATACTATTGAGCAATTATATTATTCTGTTTAATATGATGTACTGAAAACAAACAGCCAATTCCAATGCCTTTTTGGAGAGACCACATCGAGGATCACTACGAAAACTACAACACGGTCGTCCTCATCTTCGATAAGAAGGTCTACAAACTGGATGTAATTCATGGCAATGGGAAGAAATTGTTGCAATACCGTGGTGCTCGAAAGTTTGTGATTGATACTGGTATTTTCGTTGGTTCTTCATGCATTTTCACACACTTTGGACCTCACGAACCGGATGAAGAGATCACGTTCAGGGTTAAGATTGAATAGATCATGTCGTTTGTAACAGTTGCTTAGATTTAGGCCATCACAAGCTTATGTTCTTTTTTGTTCTTCTCGTGGGTGGTCAGTAATGAAGTGTAATTCTGCTAGATACATTATCCTTTTGTTTGGCTGGTAGCCTACCTTTTCGTAACTTCAAAAAAGACACAAGTACGAATGTTTTAATATTCTTTATTGTGTTGTGTGTCAGATGTTGGAATCTTCAGAATGTTTTAATTAATTCAAGTTGTGTGGCATATGTTTATCTTTTCCTTATTTTATCTTATTTTATTTTTTTAATTATTTGTGTATTGGGAATGAATAATGGATTAGTTATCTTACTCTATCATAGTTGTACAACATTGAGGTATGTGAACCTTGTTGTAATCATTTTTGAATCAACACAAGCTTTTTTTGTAAACCAGAGTGTAATTCATGCAAGATACACAAGTGATGACACTAAAATCATGCTTCATTATTAATTACATAACATGGACCCTACAAGACACAATATAGGTTCCGACATAAAAAAAAATTACAACAAAGGAGAATAACAACGACACTACGATGAGTCTTAAACACTTGTACTGAGTACTGACTCGACACAAAATGCATGGAATAATGACCTAACTTGTTAGGGGAGCGTGGCTCATGGACCCTACAAGATTGAAGCATGAACACAAAACCCAATATGAAGTACTCTTATTACTTGATTGGGGAGGAGTTGGAAGCTACGGATGAGTGTATGTTCTCCCCGTCAATTGGCTTACTTGAGTAATTATATGTGGCCCAATGCTTGTTCATCTTACTCATTATCTCAGTGGATGACAAAATGGATGGCGGGTTTTCTGGATCAGGGGCCGAGGTCACACTGACACTCGATGAGCCGTACCAAGCTAGCTCATTCCAAAATGAGTTGTTTGTGTTGGTAGAGTCATTTTCTTCAACGATTGTCCAGCCATCTCTCGCATCATGAACATTGTTGCCACCGTTTGCGGGCTGCTCATGATTAACTACAACAACATCATCGTCATCATCTGGTCCATCATCTTGTGGTAGCACGTCGCTCAAGTTTATAACCTCATGCACAGAGCCATCGCTAGTGGTGTCGTCACCCTCGTGGAACAAAGCTTTGAGACCATCGTAAGCACTCTCGCCTTCTTTCATGTAGGCCATTGCAAGCTTTTCCTCCTACACATTCATAGTTAAATGACTAAATAAACTTATACATTGAAAACAAATTAACATGCATGCTGAACAAAGTAAAAAAAAAAAAAGAAAATACCCGGACGATGTATTCCCACACGTCCTGGCCGGCAGAAACAGAGTGATTTAATGGATTGTACACCACGCCAGAGAGGTGGATTATCCAGTGGAATACATTGTAACGCTTGCGCAACTTCTTTACGCGAGTAACAGCATCTTCATAGGTGAAGTTTGCTCTCATGGAACTGTTAACATCAGTGATGGCACAAAACACGGCGTGAAAGTTTTGCTGATTGGGATCGAAGTTGCCTTCCTTCTTCTGCTCGACAAGGCAGTCGATGAATTTTTTGTCAACGGCCTTTGTCCACTTCTCAGTATAAAACACTTTGGCCTGAGCAATTGCACCCTTGGGTCCCTTATTACTGCTACGTTTTCCACGAAGTGAGGAGAACATCTTTTTTTTTTTAGCCTTCTTTGACTTGTTGTAGTTATGCTTGTGGATAGATTGGTAAGTTACGGTTTTCATATTTTATAACCAAAAAAGTGGATGCTTTATTGTTAGTTTTTTAGGGGCTGTGAAGATTCTCTGAGTGATATGATATAAGATTCCAAAAGTAAAGTGTTGTTGTTTGTCCTATTTTATCTGTGAGAATATATTCTCTGCAAAGTACAAAGCATGGTGCTTTCTTTCTTTTTTGTAGCTTAACGAGACGGCTGAAAAGTGGGATACGAATCTGTTGGATTGACAAATGAGGTAAGATTAGCAGGTGAGATTCACAAGTTCTATTACAACATTGATGAGGTCTGGACAATACATATGAACATATATGTTCGGTTTTGTGAAATACTTCACGTATTAGGACATGTCTCGGGGTTCAACATCTCACCACGGCATTGAAAGTTCTTCGCGGAGCAACACTGCTTTCCAAGGATGGAAACCGAAATGTGACCACAAGGAGGAGGCACAATTACTGACGTCCAACACTGACAAAAACCCATGTAGGCGCTATTACAGATGCAAATACCGAAACGTAAGCCTCTCGAGCACAAAATATCATGTTCTTGGATATAGCACATATTCATATTGTATCTTCTTCTTTTTTTTTCTTGCAGTCGGATGATTGTACATTTTTCCAATGGTTTGATGAAGAGATGTCGTCATTTCAGAAAAACTGTTATTTGAAGCTTAAGCATGAGAAATCGTTGTTGGAGGAACAAATGAGGAACAAGGACGAGATGATGCAAGGTGTAATGGAAAAACTAAGAAAGAAGAGAATGAAATTGAACGAATTACGAGACAAGCATAAAGAACTTCAACAGCAAGTTGTGTCATTGCATGGTGGGGAAAGTAATAACAACAATAATATTAACTGTGTGATTGTGTGTTTGGTTTTAGTCTTACTTTCAGTTTTTTTTTTCTTTTGCGTATTTAACAAAATTGTAATAACAAGATTGTTGTTATGTGTGTGCTTGTGTGTTTGGTCTTTATGCCTTTGATTCTGTTTTTTTTTTTT